CATCATTGTGCAATGTGTGAACAACTAATATCCCATCTCCTCCCATCCTGAACCTCATTCTCTACCTGACAATGAAGTGACATCTTCTTTGCTGAGTCATCAAATAAAGACATGTACAGTTAAAAGAAACACCCATTTTCTGCAAGCTCCCTGCCAGAGGCCAAATAAACTTCCTCACCAGCTATTTTTCACACACCTTGAAATGAAACCCAAGTAATCATTGTTTTTCTGCATATTAGAGATATGTGACAAATGCCCCCTCCCCCCAAAAAAAACAACAGCAGCAGCTTATAGCTAGAAAAGGAATCCCACTTGAAATCTCAGAATTTCCAGTGTACATGGGCACGTGCCTCTCCATTCCCATTATCATTGGGTCAATGCTGCTGTGTTTTAAGCTGCACTCAGCGTATTTAACTGTGAATTGGAGCCTAGCTGTGGGTTCTGTAAGTAAACTTTCCAGGCAGTAACAATTTCCTGTTTGTGACTGGAGCAAAGAGCAACGATGTCTGAGTGGAAATGGGGTAGTAAAGGCTAAACTAGGCAGCTTGGCCTCCCCGCCCCACCCCGAGTGCTTGGGAGTTCAAAGCATGTGTAGACAAGAGGATTCCAAGAACTTGACTATAATTTTTTAAAATGTAGGGTGGAAAGGATTCAAGTAGGACATATCACCAAACAACTCACCTAGCATGGGTGACATTCACACACTACCACACGCACCACTGCACTCCCTTAATACCACTCTCTCTGAGTAAGTGCACTCCTGTATTTCATCAGCGCAAGTTCCAAGCTCTCTTGATTCAGCTGGTTTAAGGTTATAAACTCCATTAGGTTTCTGTACCTGTATTTCCCTTGAGTAGGACTCTCAGGCCGGCTAAACTTACGCAGCAGCTGGCAAGCACAGACTATTGGACACCTCCCAGAAATAAGCTGTAGCTTTGGCACCATGTTTTTACTTACCAAGGAACCCCACAGACCAGGCTTCCGATTGAGAATGTCTCATAACACCTCCGGTAGGACTCTCAGCAGCTGCAAGCTGACAGGGCTCTCATGGGGCTCCCAGCTGACACAGCTGTGGGGTTTTGATGCAACTTAAAATGTATTTTAATATCAAGATTTTCAGACCAATTCAGGAGAAGCAGTTCTATCCCACTCCCACATCTCCCTTGTCTCTTAAATATGTGGTGCACAATTTGTAAAAGGCAATTCAGTTGTATGCAGGGGGAACAAACAGTAAGGCACTCAATTATTGACAACCTGTACATAAACCCTGGAACAGAATGCTATTTTTAAAGTCATAATTGCCCTGCGGAACTCAGTGCCATATGCTGTTGGGAGAGAGCTTAGCCAGATTTTAAAAAGTGTAACTTAAATTAATAAAAATAAATTCTGTTCTGATGGAGTGCCAGCAGTGGCATAGCTACGCTGCCACATGGTTTGCTTTTATTTGTACTTTAACAGCGCTCATGTGCTCAGTTAAGGAAAGCGATGACGATGGATCAGAAGACTCCCAAGGTTTTATTTTCTGCTCCACTACTGATTTACTACGTGATCTGCGGAAGCCACCATTCTTCTCTGCCGCAATTTTTCCAACTTACAAAACACCTGGGCTGTGTCTAGACTGGCATGATTTTCCAGAAATGCTTTTAACGGAAAAGTTTTCCGTTAAAAGCATTTGTGGAAAAGAGCGTCTAGATTGGCACGGATGCTTTTCTGCAAAAGCACTTTTTGCAGAAAAGCCGTCTGTGCCAATCTAGATGTGCTTTTCTGCAAAAAAGCCCCGGTCGCCATTTTTGCAATTGGGGCTTTTTTGCGGAAAACAAATCTGAGCTGTCTACACTGGCCCTTTTGCGCAAAAGTTTTGTGCAAAAGGACTTTTGCCTGAACGGGAGCAGCATAGTATTTCCGCAAGAAGCACTGATTTCTTACAGTAGGAAATCAGTGCTTTTGCGGAAATTCAAGCAGCCAGTGTAGACAGCTGGCAAGTTTTTCCGGAAAAGCGGCTGATTTTCCGGGAAAACTGACCAGTCTAGACACAGCCCAAGACTGTCCTCCCAAAGGAAGAAAGCATAGTTAAAAAAACCAGGACTTAGCCTTTGATGGAGCTGCACAGCCTGAGAAAAACGACTAGCAGAGGGAATCGTGTGGCTTCATTAATTGATGTTGTAAAGTATTTTACACTCAACTTTCATATGAAGTTCTCAAAATATTATATTGGAAAGGGGAAGCTGCATTTTTTCCCTCATCTCACAAGATGGAAATCTGAATACTAAATATTACTCCCAACCGTAGTAAAACAAAATCAAGTCTGAAATGGGATTTTTGGGCCGGTTTAATTTTCTTACAACCACTTAAAATTGTCATAATATACCACAAACTTATGTACATTCTTATTTACAGAGAAACAAGCAAAATATTCATCTAAAATATTTTAAAAACCTTTTGATTAAATTGCTATACCTATCAAAAATGATGGGACTTGATAGGCATATTTTCTTGTGCATATTTCTCCTCCATTACATATTTCACTCTCAATGCATATATTATATAAAAATAAGAAAAAAAGCAAGCAGGAAGGACACACAACACAATATGCATTTAAATTGGGATTTGTTGATGGTTTAAGAACGAGCAGCTAATTTAAAAAGGCAAAATACAGGAAAAGTGCATCAATTCCAATGAGTTAGTATAAGAATGAGGCCTGCGCATGGTGCTGATAATAGCCAGGATGGAGTCTCCCAGCAGACCTCTGATTGTCTAGAAAGGCTTTAACAGAAGTAAAAGCAAAACAAAAGAACAGGGAGGAGAAACATGAGACCTCAAGAGAAAAACAGCAAGTATCTTCCCATGAGGCTTCTTGGAAACTGGAGCGAGATGACTTCTGGGAGGGGCAGGTATTCATTTTTGTTTGGACTTCACAAACTCAACTATTCATTCACCCTACTTAACCAAGAGCTCCAGACTCTCCAATAAAGTCAGATGGGAGTTTTTTTCCGCATGCTCAGCAATGCTAGATACTTTCACGTGTTCAGTACTTCTGGGACAGCAGAGACCATCACAGGTGTCAGCTTGATTACACCAAGTCACTTAGATCATCTGCTTCTGCAGTTTGTTAGAGTGAGCTCTTCTGACCTCCATGGCTTAGGGTTCAGCTTCTCACCACCGGTGTCAGACTAAACAGAGCACGTCTGTCTTCTGATCAAACAATTCCATCTGCTGTGTGCTGCAGAATATCACACAACGACAGATCCAACTTATGGGGAGCTTGAATCCAGCATGGAGACACTGAAGTCCTACCAATCTTTGATTTCATTTTTGCTGGTCAATTTTCAAATAGGATATAAAAAAGACAAATTACAGTAAAGAAGATTCCACTGTAGTTAGTGTATCCAAGGCCCACTCTAACCTTTTACCCATAAGGCTGCCTTCAAAAACAAGGCTATTTTATATGATTTGGGAAAAGTTAGGCAATACACTGAAATGTGGCTCAGCACATTATTCATTTGAAATGAAGTTTTCAACCAACATTTAAAAAGTCTTCAGACACATCCAGTTACGTTGGCTCAGATCCTCAAAGGTATTTAGCCTCCCAACGTTCACTGACTTCAATGGAAGTTAGAAACCTAAATATCTTTGAGGATCTGGCCCCTTGTGCTTAGTGAATGTACTTGAAACTCGAAGTAGGCAATAACCAGTTCTACAACCGCTAGTTAGAAAGGACCCATGTATAGTTTCATATTTTTGGCTTTAAGACAAGGTTACGTCATCCAGTGACTTTTCTTTTGCCTAGGTACTTGTCTTGCTCCTCTGCCCAGAACACAACCATGGGGCAGCTTTTCAAAGGCATCTATTTCCTATTTTTAAAATGCAGAATTTGATGACTCTGCACAGCCGATTTGGCTGCCACCAAGACTCCGCAAGTCTATAAAGCTTCTTGCTAGTAATGTATAAAAGCTTTGTACATCATGTAAAAAAAATGGAATGCTAAGTCCTGCAAATAATAAATATATTTATATTGCTTTGAACTTAGCAAGTTAACAGTCCTCTCTTATATGTATCATTAGAATTGGGAATAAGAAATCTACCATCACAATCTGTCACAACAGAACTCTTAGTGTTTGCAATATGCAGAAAGCGAAGAACTACAGCTCAGTCTAACCGAACGTGCTGTCTTTATCAAATCTATGAGGGTCTGGTAAGCTCTGTGGCATTCTTGATCATTTTCAAATGTGAATGGCTTTCTATTTTGTTCCCTAGACAGTGACTTGCCTTTTTTCTAATGCTGGAAAAATTTGAAAAGTATGTTTGAAAAATTTGAAAGTAGCTTTAGATGATCAGTCTTATACCTTGTCCTTTTTGGAAGGGTCTCTTTCACTTCATCTCCCTGCCTGCTTGGGAGAGTAGGCTAAAAGCTGCTCTAGAACCTGACAGTAATTGGGACATATTAACTTGCTGTCTAGGGGATGTTATAGATGCACATTTTTAGAGACCAAACACCTCTCTGCTCTGGGCTCATTTTCCACTAGCTCAGGGAGTACAAGACACCGGCCTGCTGATGAAGTCTGCTTGCCCAGCATGGCTGGCTGTAGCACAAGTAGTGCATGCATGCAGGCATCCCATGTTTTCTAAAGTTATGATGTGCTAAGCAGTTAAACACATTCAAAAGGGGCGGGAGGCATGAAAAGGAAATCCTGTACTCTTCAACTGGTCACCCATGGAAGATCCTCCTTGTCCCTCTTGTCTAGAGCTAGGCAGGATGAGGCTGGGGGCCAGGCCGGCCTGCTTAACACTTTGAGCTGGCCTGCAGACTGCATCTCGCTGCTTTCGATTTATATAGAATTTCCAGGTGGTGGCTCAGACAGCAGGATCCTATTTAAATGGCCCCTGGCTTCTGGTCGAGCCCTTTAAATAGCTGCAGCATCCCCGGGTGGCTGCCAGGCAACGCAGTAGCAGTGGGACCAGGAGCTGTGTTTTTAATTCAAAGCCTCCAGCCCTGGACAACTCGGGGGGAGACTAGTCCCCAGCCCCGCCCCTTCTGCTCCAGGCCCCGCTCCTTCGGGGGCAGAGCTGGCCCTTGACCATGTACCAAAATTCATGAAGTGGTCCCCCCGTGAAAATGACTGCCCACTCCTGGTCTATGCCATCCCTAAGGCAGCGCTCATTTTCCTGTAGTGAAGATTTCCTAGAGACTTTTAAAGCGCCATTGCCCCTAATTCCCACCCACCTCCCAATGCAACACTTATGGCAGGGGTGGAGAACGTCCGACCCATGGGCTGGCTCCAGCCCCACAAACAACGTAGTCCAGCCCCTGGGGGTTGCAGCAGCCATGCAACGCTGCGGAGGCCGCCAAAAAGACTTCACCCCAGCCTTGCCTGCAGTACCAGCTAGATTCTGGCCCCTCTCCTGCACGTCGGAGAGGCATACGCACATGAACTGGCTGGAGGAGGAAGCTACATGTGCTGGAGCCCCTGTGCAAACAGGAGCTCCTCTGGTGTTCCAGTGCTTGCTGCCCTTGACTGGCACTAGGAGGCCAGGCGGCAGCAAAGAAGCAGCTGGAGCTCTTCCCAGCCTGGGGCAGCTGCAGCAGGGAGCTGCTTCCTGCAGTGTCCAGCCCCAGCAACACACTGCCAGGGAAGGGGAAATCTGTCCCGGAGTGGGAGGGAAAGGAAGCCCCCACCACCTTTTCCTCCCCCTGCCCCCCTTGCATAGGATGGCTGCCAACAGGGAGCTAGTCAGGCAGCCAGATGCTGCCAGCATCGCCTTCTCCTGCAGGTAAGGAGGCTTGCGGGACCAGAGGGAAAGGGAAATCCCTGGCAGGAGCGGGAGGGAGGGGAAGCTGCCCCCCTGCCTGAACCCCTCCCTGCATGGGGTGCTTTAGGGAGGATGGGGAGGCCACAGCTGGGCCACCCCCCAAGTCCCATCCCTGTATAGGGTGGCTGCAGCAAGGCACAGGTCAGGCAGCCCCAGCAGAGGCTGCTAGCAACTCCTCCTGCAGTTTAGGAGGCCTGGAGACCAGGAGAAGACGGAGGGGATAGTCACTTGCAGGAGTGGGAGGGAAGGGAAGCCCCTGAGTGCAAGGGCCACCCAGAAAAGGGAGGAAGGGGTGGCCATAGCTGGGCAAGCCCCAAAGGCTTTGCTCTGGCTAGGGCATCAGTTGGTTCTCCACCCCTGACTTATGGTAAGTGGCTACAGTATAATCCCTGAAGCTCAATATATAACTGAGATCTCTGCAACTCCTGCTGATGACGATGTTATTAGCCTATTGCCAAGAGTCACCCAACAAGCTACTCAGAGCTAGCCAATTCTGCAGAAACAAAGGAACCACAATAGCACGGGAGTCTAATTTCAAGTCATATCAGTGTAAGATCAACAGATATAAGCCTAAATACCACTTTGTATTGTAGATGGAAAAGGACCTCTTAAAATAGTATTAAAATGACTATCCATAGGCAACTGCCAAATAGTCCCTTTAAATCTAGCAATAAAGAGGGAGTACATTTTCCCCTGGAAATGAAATGTACAAAAACACGTGAGCAGCATAGAAACATCATACACACACAAAATGGAAAACATCCCCTTTGAAACTCAAATAAAAGCGGATCCCACTGGGACCAGACTGCTAATGCCTTCCAAAGCGAGGCAGAGAAATCAGCCTAAAAACATGCCCAAGGTCACCTGTAGCTACTTCATTGGCCTCAGTTAGCTGTTTCACTTGTATTTACAGGGACAAATGGAGTATGAAATTGATACTTTAAAAAACAAACCCCAGACTTTGTGATAAAAAGTTTGTTAGATGTCCCTTTATAGTTAAGTTCTCTTCTTTTCTGACATCTCTTTAAGTGGTCATTTTTATCAGGCGGGCAATACAGCAGTCATGGCCTCAGAGCTGTCAGTTTGGAGTCAGCTTTTCCTTCAGTTAAACAGAGGGACTTGGAAACCTTGCTCTGCATGAATCTTGTCCCGGCATTCTCTGTTGGTCAAGTCTCTTAAGGCAAAGTGCCAAAAGTCACTCCACTACCCCAAGAGAAAAAAAAATAATCAAGAACCAAAATTTCCATTATTAGATGCATATTGGAAGAGGCTTGGGATAGGATTCCAATAAACATGTGTCTTAAATCTTGCTAACTATGGATTGAAAAACAAAAGAAAGGTCTTCACATCCCCTCCCCCGTACCGACTGGTAAACAGTTTGTCTTCCATTTAGATTTTCATTGTAAGGTGGAGGAGGAGGATTCTTTGGATTTTAGCCCACCTCTAAATATTTTTGCCTTGACTAAACTATTCGGACTTGCAGCAACAGAAACCTTTTGCCTATCCAGGGCTGCTCAGAGCAGAAGCTGCTTTCCTGCATTCACCTTCCCTTGCTGCCTTGGATGGGCCAGGATCTGACACCAGGATAAGGTGAAACATACAGTTTTCATTTTACAAAGGATCCCATAAGTGAAACCTACAGTTTGGGTCACACAGCAGCCTAGAAATTAAACCCAGTAGGTTTACATGGAGCTAAGATTGCCTCTATGGTCGGTCCCTAGCTACCATACATCGTGGGAACCACTAAATATCTTTCCTCAACCTCATTCCCTTCACATGCACCAGCATCCCCATCTCATAGGGTGTGCCTCGGGCTCTCTGCAGGAGAGGCTTTGCGTGGAAGGAAGAGCAGGGGAGGCATGCTTTCTGATTTCTCACTTGCATATAAAACCTCAGCTCCTGTTCCCCAGCTGCCTGCGAACACAGGCAGAGGCTGAGGAATGCATAGACTCTGGAACTCAATGCTCATTTTCAAGTGGTCTCAGGTCCGAATGCCATTTCACACAAAAGTATTAGCCAGCAAGGTGGGCTCTTCTGTTGCCCACCAAAGCATTATGAAGAGAACAGCTGTGCAGAGCTCCACACGATGGCTATCTGATTCCAGTCAGGCCTGACACACGGCTCACCACTAGTGCAGTTAGTGTAGGCAAGGCTTCGTTTTCAAGCACGTTTACCAAAATGGCCTGCTCAGAGTCAAAAACCTGAGTCACGTCCTCACTGCAGCTCCACTGTTGCTTCCTCTGGTGGAGCTAAAGTGATGGTGCATTTTCCTCGTGTACCCATGGACATGAGGTCCACGGAGTGGGGGCGGAGAGAAGAGCAGCATCTATCATGCTGTGCTGTAATCCCAGCCATTTGGCACAGGTAGAAAAGGGACAAAAGATTCAAGCCACATTTTAAAAAAAGAGATCCAGTAATTCTATCTGAGGATAGCCAGCCCCGACAGAGCGAGAGAGTGCAAAGCAGTATGTTTTCCAAACTCCTCCTAAGGGAAAAGGTGATGCTCCTGAAGTGCCAAACAAGCCTATGCAGTTTTCAGTCAAAGCTTTGGAATCACGCTTATCTCGAGATCAGCGTTCCACGGTGATAAGGTTTTAAGCTTTTGATCTCTCTAAGGAACAGCAGCTGCTGTGCAGCTACCAATGAATTTCTCAAAATAATTAACCCCCTACCATCCTCAGTGACAACTTTTACTGCACAGGTGGCAGAGGTAGTTAAAAAAAACAAAAAACAAAACAAAAAAAAAAGAAAAAAAAACAGAACCTAAAACACTAATAATAAAGACACAACACTCTTGCTCTACTGTACATTCAAAATTCTGTGGCCACATCGTTGTCCTGACAATGAGCAAATTTAAATTAAAAACAAAAATGAAAACATGCTGATGTATAAAGAGCACATCCCAAAGCCAGTGCTGTCTTAAAGCAAATGTTCTCTTTTAGAGAAAGGAAACTGAGTTCTTCGTGAATGGTTAGGAATAGGAAAAAGAGGATTTTCCAGTAGCTGCCTTCTCACATACATGGCATCTGCCCCTCCTTTCCCTTTTTAAATTCTGCACCACAAGAACTCTTGAAACGTCTGTATCCTTATAGGAAATGTTTTTTAAACCTTTTTTTAAAAATTAAAAAAGAAGCAATCAGCAGAGTGAGAGACTACCATGTTTCCAAGCTGGCAGAGTAGCTGCTGTTTGCATTGACATTTTGCTCCACAAGTTGTCTTCCCTCCCTCGAAGTGCAAAACTGTGGCTGAACAGATGTTTGCTGGTCACCAGAACTGAAGCCGCAGTTTAACCCCCTTTTGGTTTTCCCTGCCACAAAGGTGGAGTATGTTGCTGCAGATGTGCTTCCAAAGGTCCACCTCCATCTGGCCATCCTTCAGTTAGCAAATTGCTGATAAAAAGCAAGTTTGACTCTTTCAATGTGATGGCAAAGTTTAATGGCTGGCCCAAGTTTCAAGTCCATGCACTCCTGAACAGTGGGCAGAGTGAGCAGGAGAAGCGCCTGACCATCTATTTCCTGTCAGGAGACAAAGAGAATTAAGGCAGAATTAGTTGCTCATTTACTCCCGTTTCAAATTTAGAGAATTAAGGCAGAATTAGTTGCTCATTTACTCCCGTTCAAATTTTGGCTTCCTCCAAGTTTCAGCTCATCACTCTTTACACTTAGGAATCTGCTCTTTCACTTGTGCCACTTCTTCTTGCTGGAAACCTCCCTAGAATCAGAGAATCCCAGGGCTGGAAGAGACCTCAGGGGGTGATAGAGTCCAGCCCCCTGCCCAAAGCAGCACCAACCCAACTAAATCATCCCAGCCAGGGCTTTGTCAAGCCAGGATTTGGAAACCTCTAGGGATGGAGATTCCAGCAACTCCCTAGGTAACCCATTCCAATGCTTCACCACCCTGCTAGGGAAATAGTTTTTCCTAATATCCAACCTGAACCTCCCCCACTGTAACTTGAGACCATTGCTCCTTGTTCTGTCATCTGTCACCACTAAGAACAGCCTCTCTCCATCCTCTTTGGAACCTCCCTTCAGGAAGTTGAAGGCTGCTATCAAATCCCCCCTCAGTCTTCTCTTCTGCAGACTAAACAAGCCCAGATCCCTCAGTCTCTCCTCATAGGTCATGTGCTCCAGCCCCCTAATCATTTTGGTTGCCCTCTGCTGGATCCTCTCCAATGTGTCCACATCCTTTCTATAGTGGGGGCCCCAGAAGTGGACACAATACTCTAGATGTGGTCTCACTGGTACCAAATAAAGGGGAATAATCACTTCTCTAGATCTGCTGGCAATGCTCCTAGTAATGCACCCTAATATGCCATTAGTTTTCTTGGCTACCAGGGTGCACTGTTGACTCATATCCAGCTTCTCATCCACTGTCCTAGCCAGTTGGTCCCCAGCCTGTAACAATCTTTGGGATTCTTCCGTCCCAAGTGCAGGAATCTACACTTGTCCTTGTTGAACCACATGAGATTTCTTTTGGCCCAAACCTCCAATTTGTCTAGGTCACCCTGGACCCTATCCCTATGCTCCAGCATATCTACCTCTCCCCCTAGATTAATGTCATTTGCGAACTTGCTGAGGGTGCAATCCATCCCCTCATCCAGGTTATTAATAAAGATGTTGAACAAAACTGGCCCTAGAACCGATACTCGGGGCACTCCACTTGAAACCGACTGCCAACAAGACACTGAGCCATTGATCACTACCCATTGGGCCTGACGGTCTAGCCAGCTTTCTATCCACCTTACAGTCCATTTATCCAATCCATACTGCCTTAACTTGCTGACTAGAACACTGTGGGAGACCGTATTAAAAGCTTTGCTAAAGTCAAGGTATGTCACATCCACTGACTTCCCCATGTCCACAGAGCCAGTTACCTCATCATAGAAGCTAATCAGATTTGTCAGGCAAGACTTGCCCTTGGTGAATCCATGTTGACTATTCCTGATCACTTTTCCCTCTTCTATGTGCTTCAAAATGGATTTTTTGAGGATCCCCTCCATGATTTTTCCAGAGACTGAGGTAAGGCTGACTGATCTGTAGTTCCCTGGATTGTCTTTCTTCCCTCCCTCTCATCACCTATTTCCCTTCTTCCTTCCTGTCTCATCTTGAAGAGCAGATCTATTCTAAATTGACTCACCAAGCTATCACAGTTTCGTCCTCATTATCTCAATGGTTCCAAAGCAAATGTATTTCGCTATGGCTCCTGCCCTCTCCTCCCACAACTAATTTCTAGCCCCGCAAACTCAATCTGTGTTCAGAGAAGCAATCCGAGTTGTGTTCTCAAGCTTCCCTCTACTGTTACACTGGCTGTTCAGGCCAAATTATACGCTCAACACCACCTATGCAATTCTACAGCCTTCATATTATGCCTTTCACAACATTTGTCTTCACCATCCAGGAGCAGCCTAACAATTTGTAGTACTGGGCACTTAATATGCAAGACTAGCATAATCTATCTTTGAAAAATAGATGTAATATAAAATAATATACAGGCAGTCCCCGAGTTACGTGGATCCGACTTATGTCGGATCTGCAGTTACGAATGGGGTTTTCTCGCCCCGCAAGACGGGAGCGGCGGGACGCCCAGATGCCCCGCGGTCCCGCCCGCATCCTCCACGGCTTTGCTCCGCGTCTCCCTGGTCTGTTGGAGGGGGGGGAGGGGGCGCAGGAGGGGCGCCCCCCCCCCCTCCAGCAGACCAGGGAGATGCACCGCGGTCCCGCCCGCATCCTCCACGGCTTTGCTCCGCGTCTCCCTGGTCTGTTGGAGGGGGGGGAGGGGGCGCAGGAGGGGCGCCCCCCCCCCCTCCAGCAGACCAGGGAGATGCACCGCGGTCCCGCCCGCATCCTCCACGGCTTTGCTCCGCGTCTCCCTGGTCTGTTGGAGGGGGGGGAGGGGGCGCAGGAGGGGCGCCCCCCCCCCCTCCAGCAGACCAGGGAGATGCACCGCGGTCCCGCCCGCATCCTCCACGGCTTTGCTCCGCGTCTCCCTGGTCTGTTGGAGGGGGGGGAGGGGGCGCAGGAGGGGCGCCCCCCCCCCCTCCAGCAGACCAGGGAGATGCACCGCGGTCCCGCCCGCATCCTCCACGGCTTTGCTCCGCGTCTCCCTGGTCTGTTGGAGGGGGGGGAGGGGGCGCAGGAGGGGCGCCCCCCCCCCCTCCAGCAGACCAGGGAGACACGGAGCAAAGCCGTGGAGGATGCGGGCGGGACCGCGGGGCATCTGGGCGTCCCGCCGCTCCCGTCTTGCGGGGCGAGAAAACCCCATTCGTAACTGCAGATCCGACATAAGTCGGATCCACGTAACTCGGGGACTGCCTGTATTAAAGGTATCCTTTTAACCATGCATGCAAGTTTCTTTCCCTGATGCCGCTTTGATTAGCGCATCAGAAAAGCACCGTGTGATGCCCAATAACATTTGTATTCCCAAACTTTAAGGTTTATAAAGTACTCTGCAAGTGTTAGTTTTAATAAATGATGCAATATTGGGAGTGCTATTCGGGTCAAAACCAGCTCTATAGTCTCTTCAAATAGGCTGCTGAATTCATGGTTAGCTGTTTTAGCTGCAGCATATGTATTTTCTCCCAAGTCAATTTTGGAAATCAAATGCAGTTCATTAGCAAAATGTTCAGTAAGAAGTGGAACACAAACGAATGCCTCTATTCTCCAACCAACTGTAAGAAACACAAAGTGCAATGTTTTTTGCCATACCAAAAACATAAAAACTGCAGTAACCAGATTTTACCCTTTTGTAATGAAAACTGGTTTAATGTGGTCAGTCAACCAGCAGATGCTCAGAATTCAGACAGCGGGTTCATATTTTTTAAGAAGAATTGCATACCTGATCCAGGAAAATTCTGGCTAATGGGGCACAGTCTGTAGATCGGAGGAACCGCACAACATCGGCCACGCTCCATTCCAGAGGGTTACTGTCCAGCTGCAGCTTTTCGGCAACTTCAATCTTTATTTCCTAACCCACCCCACAAAGAACGTTATATTTGCTATGTCCAAAAATATCACCATGTTCACACAATGTTCCTAAAGCAACTCTGAATTTGAGAGGCAGCGTACTCTAGCAGAATGCTGGGAATCAGAAGGTAGGAAGTGCTGAGATCTAAAATCCCAGCTCTGCCAATGGCTTGCTGCACAGCCCTTGGAAAAGTCTCCAGAACTCAGCATGTCATGAAGAGTAGTTAGAATTTGTATGCTGCTTTGAGCATTGGAAGTTCTAGTCCCCTCATGGTCCCTGCCTGACACCAGGCATGATGGTGCACAGTCTCAGGGTTGGATTTCTCTCTGCTCCTGGATTCTCAGGGCCTAAAACATGTTATTTTTGCACCACCAGGGGAACACATTTGCACCAGGATGGGAAAACTGCCCTCAAGTATCACTGTATCACACTAGAAGTCTAAACTAGCATCACATAAAGGAAGCCCTTAGCTATAACTTTGGCAATATCGGAGCAAAGTAACTTTCCAAATGAATACTGTTACAAGATGCTCCGTAATAGGAGCATTAAGGTTGCCTGGAAGTGAACATTTCATGGAGAGTTACTGATCACATTTTAAGCAACATGACAACGGCACATTGGATCTTCTTATTTTCTTGGTTCTGAGGATTTGTATGGGTCCCAATACAAAGTACATTAGTGGTAATTTTAAGTTTTAATGATTCTAAGTTCAAGTGCAGACTCAAGATCTGAAGGAACAGTTTTTTTGCATTTGGTACCGCGGCAGTGTCACTTAATCACACGGTGGTTTTTACTACTAAGAAATACCCAAACTTACATAATGTTGATAATAATTTTCAAAGACAAATTGGCCTTGGCTGATTAGCTAACAAGCTTATCACAGCAGCTACCTTAACACCCTGTAGAGCTCTGGCATTTACTCTGCCAATCCTTCTTGCAATTCAAGGAATGTCACCTGTGTATTGAGCACTGGGAAGAGTGGACACAGAGCGCTCCAGGTGTGGAAATTAAAAGCATTTTTTAAATCAGAATGATGAGTGAAATTCACAGCATACTGCCAAGCGGAGGGAAGTTCTAATGAATGATATCTTCCTCCCACCTTGGAGAAACCCCCAAGCCACCGAGAATGTGAAAAGATAATTTGTAATTTAAGAGGTACCTTTGGTGAAGGGGGTTTATTTTCATCATCAGAGAAGGAAAAGGTCCGGAGCTTCCTCTTTTGCTTATCTTGATCCTGAGCCAAGCAGTGGGACAGCTCACTCTGTGTGGGAGAGGAGGACCGCGATTTCTTCTCTGACACTTCTGACTCTTCAAGCAGTTCATCTTGCTGCTCTGAGGCGCTATCCTCACTCATAGACTCTTCATCTACGTCATCCTGATCATCCTCTTCCTCTCCCCCGCTGCCCTGAAAAGAGAAGCGAAAGAACAAATTTAGAATGGAACGTCCAGTACACAGAAATGCGGTGATGGTCTCGGATGTTTACACTCATCACTGCATCAAGTGCTGCTGTTACAGCGTCGGTCCCAGGATTTGACAGACACACAAGATCTGTGAAGTAATATCTTTTATTGACTACTTCTGCTAGCATGGCAAGATTCTGAAAGATACTCTCTCACCCATCTTGTCTCTATGATCTACAGCAGGGGTCGGGAACCTTTTTGGGGCCAGAGGCTGCTGACCCTCGCCCCCTCCCCCCCCAAAGTCAAGGGCCACATGAGTGAGAAGCAAAACACAAAACAAAAAACCCCTCACTGACATGGTCCCCGACTGAGAAGGGAAACACACTCCCGACATTCCCCTTGCCCAGAAGAGCTTAGTGTGGCTAGCAGGATTGTGTGCCCCAGCTGTGCAGGGGACAGCAGGGAGGTGATCTACAGCAGGGGTCGGGAACCTTTTTGGGGCCAGAGGCTGCTGACCCTCGCCCCCTCCCAGCCACGAGCCACCCCTGGCCCCTGAGCCTTAGGTTCCCCACCTCTGATCTACAGTCACTGTTTGGCTGCACATGGTCTAAAGGAACTAGTAGCTGGTTATGCGGAGAGTTTTATTCCAACACCCAGGCTGTCTAGGAACATGCCCTGGACTGTGTAAGTCTCCTACAGCCGCATACCTGGGTAGATCCAACTGGAGAGTTGTCCACTGAGGTGGAAGAACGTTTTTTCTTATGGACAAAGAAGTGTTTTCGTCTCTTCCTCCTCTTGCTTGGTTTCTTCATGCTCGCTTCCAGATTACTATGGCCACCCGGTGGTCGGCCAATCCTTTTGTTTTTCCTCTTCCCATAATAATGTGCTACATGGAGAAAAGCAAAGGGTGTTTGTTTCACATGCACTGCATTGCAATGGAATTTCCACACTATTCATTATCACTGAGCAGTCCCCAGGAATCCAAGGAATGAGAAACCATTAACAGAAAGCTTTCCAACAGAAATCCCAGCTGGAGATCAACAACAATAATGGGTCCATTCTTTCCTTCAACATAATACATCCAGTACCTGTTTATTTCTAAAGTTATATTCGCCCAACAAAGGGAGACTAATTTTTTAGTTCCGAGAAAGGTCTCAAATGAACAGTTATTGGTGCAAGTAATGTCATCCGTGCTCTGGAGTGGTCGTAGTAGCTGCTGGGATTCTGCAGGATTCTTGCAAGGCCTGTAGAGGTTTATTGAGATGAACAGTAGCTGGGAATTCAAATTAGTAAAAGACCTAATGGAAGCAGCCAGTTGTGAGGCAGACTGGCAAGCATGATAAAAACTGTAACTTTTAATGGCATACAGCCTGGAATCTTCCTCTGTAGGATGTTTTTGTCCCAGACATCATCATCAGGAATTCATACAACATCAGCAGGGCTCTCTCGAAGCTGCGCGCTTGCGTGGGTGTACAAATAAAGTTTCCACCCCACCCACCTCCTAAGCAGAACCGCGCAGCTGCACCTGGTGGCAGCAGGCAGCTTCTCCAGCGGTCGGAGGAACCGTGTGTGGTGGGCTGGGGCCTGACCACAACTGGGACCCAGGCCTGAGGAGCAGGGAGTGGATGGGGCCTATGCTCAAGCAATGAGACCTGCTGGGGCAGGGGTCTTGGCAGCATCCATCCCCCCACCTGGTGCAAGAGAGCTTTCCAGCGGGGGCGGGGAGGCTGAAGACTGGGATTTTTGCTGTGAATTCCAGCAAATCCCCCTCCCTTGCCAGCCTTGGCCAAGGCTCAGCTGCAAGGGGAAGGGAAAATGAAAGGCACAGGCTGTGGTGGGCTGAGTGGAGCAGACTGTGGTGGAGAGGGAGTTCCCAGCTCGCAGCCAGGAACAGAAACAATCCCATGCACGGCTCTGTGAGGTCTGTGGCAGGCCCTTGTCTAGCCTGGGACATTCCCACCCCCACCTCTGCCCACAAGGGCTATCAACAGAGGAAGTTGGCTACCGCAAAATCTACAGTATTTTCTTTGTATCTGACTTCATAGTTAACATTTTCAAGTCCTGCACCTTGTTAATTATCCTTTGTTTTAGTATTCTTTCTTCCATATATATATTTTTTTAAATGTTAAGATATTTGTTGTTAACTTGGGTGCCATGGTGGCACACATCCGAACAAGCACACATGACCTCAATATTGGTGCACAAGACAAAACTCACTCTGCTCATGGATGGAAAATCTTAGAGGGAACACTGAACTTGAGGCATAACATATAACCGGAACTTAATAACTGCTTGAATAGCATTGCAGATCACTGTTAGATTATCCTTGTTTTCACCCAAGATATGGGTCCATAGGTCTACATCATTAGCACGTAGGCTGCTCATTGTCAGGAATTCAGTGAGATGTATAATTTGTAACATACTTTGAGATCCTTCTGGATTAGAGGCACTGTCTAAATGAAGATCATTACACTGTCAATAAAACATGGTGTCTACTCACTGTATTTTGTCTTTGTCAGGACAGAGCAGTTTTCTGAACACTTATCTAGCACCATCTGTGGGCCAAAGAGATTTGGACAGCATTCCAGTTTGATGCAGGTTGTTCTACAGAAATCTGCCACACGATCAGCTGTTCTCACAACCTCCACAGTGGCACGGTAACTCTTCCCTTTGTACCTGCCATTGTGAGAAAATCATGAGTTGGCTGGTCCTAATACAATTATTTACTGGTGTTATATCACATCAATACTACCAGACATTACATAGTCAAAAAAAGTTTAAAGTGAGCTTGTGAAAGACTTTGGCTCAACAATCACAAAGACCGAAGTCCTCCCTTTAGGAACATAAAATAACAGACAAACATGTGAATAAATATTAACAAGATAGTATAGATGAGCAATTGCGGTACCAAGTTTCTGCACACTGCCCTGCTAGTATGCCTCCAATATGTTTTGAGTTTGGGAGCTGCAGGGAACTCACTGTGGGGGCTGGGAGTTAGAGCCCCCTAACATTCATGGATTTTGCCATTCGCAGTGGTGCCAGGAACACATCTGCTGCAGATGGGGAGGGTTTCCTGTACCTAGAACTCCTACATGATAGGCAAGCATGTCTACTTTATAAATGGAGAATGGGGGCAGTGAGAGAGTTTGAGATTTGTTTCAGGTCATGCAGTAAGTCTCCAGCACAGCTGGACAGAGAATCCTGATCGCCTGGTTGGGTGAAAGTCTTCTTCTCTTTTGGGTAGTTAACCAGATGGCTCAGAATTGCTGGGTTTAATGATTCTATGATGTTGGCATGATCACAATATTATTTCACTGGGGTTCTAGTCCTATCCACACATTGGTTTCTCAGTGATAGTTAAATTATGGACCAGTAAGGCCCATCAGAAGCATTGAACAGCATATTCACATCAAGTATGCAAAAGGGAGCTGGAGTCAGACACAGGGAAAGCAGGCTAATGGAATTTGGCTGAAGGTGCTGTCAGCCAGAGATTATTCCATGACTCTTTCAAAGCAAAGCCACAAAACGATCTTCAAATTACAAATCTGTTACCCTTTTGCTGCTGATCTGCCAGTGCATATGCCATGTTGTATTAGTTATTCCAGTAATACTACACTGAAACCAAAGTAGTTTCAGAGCACATGTAGTACACACACCAGCTGCACTCTGTTGGAGAGTGCTGAAACATTTTGCATGAGCTGGAGGGTTATGTTTTGCAATGTCCTTATTTGCCTTGAACAAATCACACGTAATTTTCCTAAAAGGCAAAGTTAGACAAAACCGTAAGCGTGCAGAAGATATTACTGCTGGCATCGGCTGAACTGGATTATGGGGCAGAAATTTACTTTGCTTTCAGGGTCTCTCCATGCCCATGCCACGCAGTATCCTCATCCAGCTGTAGTTCTCGAAGGACGCGGCTAGGTTTGTAGGCTGCATTGATCAATAAAGTGAGAACCTACAAATGGAAATGAAATGAGGAGGAAAAACCCATTAGGTTATTTATACAATAAATCTCTTTTAATGTGCTAGGTGGGCGGGTTGGCAAATTAATTCCATCTATCTGAATTAATCAGCACCAAACCATTACTATCTGAGAATCAAAAAGCTCATTCATAGTGGGATTTTGGAAAAAAAAAGAAACTACTTGCATGATAAATCATACCAGATAGTAAAACAGCATTCAGAATTTGACTACCAAAGGATTACTGATTTCAGCAGCTCCCAGAAATTATTGGAACTTCACTGGCTTTATTTCTAATAACTCAGTTTAATTTAAGGGTAGACATTATGAAGCTCAGGCAGTCCTTGGTAATGCAATGACATTTTGCTGCTTGTGCATGTAGCTTCATTCCAGAACTTCTCTTTTTGTTACATGTTTGCACTCAAAAGCAAAACAGTGAAAAACTTTAGCGCTAACAAGTCCACTTAGTCCTACTTCTTCAGCCAATTGCTAAAACAAACTAGATAGTTTACATTTACAGGAGGTAATGCTGCCTGCTTCTTATGTACATTGTCACCTGAAATTGAGAACAGACATTTACATGGCACTTCTATAGCCAGCACTGCAAGGTATTCACACGCAGGATATGCTAAACATGCATACGGTTCTCCAAACTTCAGCCACCATTCCATAGGAAATGCTTCCATGCTGATGATGATGCTTGTTAAAAAAATAATGCATTACTTAGAATTTGTGACTGAAATCTTTGGGGGGAGAAATATATGTCTCCTGCTCCATTTTACCTGCATTTGGCTCTATATTTCATGTTATAGCAGTCTTGGATGATGACCCAGCGCATGTTGTTCATTTGGAGAACACTTTCACAGCAGATTTGACAAAATGCAAAGAAGATATCAATGCGAGATTTGTCAAAATAGCTACCACACTCATTCCAAGATTTAAGAATCTGAAGTGTTGTCCAAAATCGGAGAGGTAGGAGGTGTGGGCATGCTTTCAGAAGTCTGAAAAGAGCAACACTCTGATGTGGACACTACAGAACCCAAACCACCAAAAAAGAAAACCCACTTTCTGTTGGTGACATCTGACTCATGATGATGAAAATGAACATACATCAGTCTGCTCTGCTTTGGATAGTCACCAAGCAGAGCCCAGTATAACCATAGATTTATGTCCTCATGCATGGTGTTTCAAGCATGAAGGGACATAGACATCTTGAGCAAATCTGGCATGTAACCATCATGTGATGTTGGCTACAACAGTGCCATGGGAGTGCTTGCTCTCACTTTCAGGTGATATTGTAAATAGAAGAGGGCAGCACGATCTCCTGCAAATGTAAATAAACTTGTTGATAGAATCCTAGAATCTAAGGCTGAAAGAGACCTCAAGTGGTCATCGAGTCTAGTCCCCCGCCCAAAGCAGGACCAATCCCAAGTAAATCATCCCAGCCAGGGCTTTGTCAAGCCAGGACTAAAAAACCTCTAGAGATGAGATTCCACCAACTCCCTAGGGAACCCATCCCAGTGCTTCCCCACCCTCCTATGGAAATAGTTTTTCCTAATGTCCAACCTAGACCACCCCCACTGTTACTTGAGACCATCTGTCACTACTGAGAACAGCCTCTCTCCATCCTCTTTGGAACCTCCCTTCAGGAAGTTGAAGGCTGCTATCAAATCCCCCCTCACTCTTCTCTTCTGCAGACTAAATAAGCCCAAATCCCTCAGCCTCTCCTCGTAGGTCATGTGCTCCAGCCCCTTAATCATTTTGATAGCCCTCTGCTGGACCCTCTCCAATGCATCCACATCCTTTCTATAGTGGGGGGGCCAAAACTGGATGCAATAATCCAGATGTGGCCTCACTGGTGCCAAAAAAAGAGGAATAATCACTTCTCTACATCTGCTGGCAAGGCTCCTCCTACTACACCCTAATATGCCCTTAGCCTTCTTGGCTACAAGGACACACTGTTGACTCATATCCAGCTTCTCATCCACTGGAATCCCCAGGTCCTTTTCTGCCAAACTGTTGCTTAGCCAGTCCATCCCCAGCCTGTAACAGTGCTTGGGATTCTTCAGTCCTTGGTGAATCTCATCAGATTTCCTTTGGCTCAATCCTCCAATTTGTCTAAGTCACTCTGGACCCAATCCCTACCCTCCAGCCAATCTTTGTCTAAGCAACTGGCTGAAGAAGAAGCATGACTGAGAAGAATTGTAGGCTCTAACGTTTTCTACATTTGTATGTTCAATCTTCATGATAAAGAGACTGCACTACAGTACTTGTATTAGGTGAACTGAAACATACAGTGCAAGTATTTGTAACCAAAATATAAAGTGAGCATTGTTGTAAATTAAATCAGTATGTTTAAAAATGTAGAAAACATCCAAAACTATTTCAGTAAATAGTTTTCAGCAAATGGATGCTGGGGTGCCAGCGTCTTCACTGGGCTCCGCTTCCCAGCCTCCTGGTCCTGTGAGCTGCTGCAGCCCTGCCAGAACTTCTGCCCCGCTGCCCTTGCACAACTCCTGGAGGCCCTGCTGGCTGCAGGCTCCGCTGCCCCATGAGGTCTGGCCCCTCTGCCAGCTTTCCTGCCCTGACAGCTGCAGGCTCTCGTGCCCCATGGGCCCCGCCAGCGAGCTCTGCTCTGAGCCACTGGCAACCTCTGCTGCTGAGGCTGTCTAGTTCCACAACACTGGTGGTCCTTCCAGACCACAGATGATGCTGGACCAGAGAGTCCTGGACCACAGAGGTTCAATCTATATCAATAGAAACACAAGGGCAACTGCACTGATTGTACCATTGATTTTCATAATTAAACAAATTGCTGGCTGGATTTTCAAGGACAGTGATCACCTGTCGCTGTTACTGACTTTGGCAGGATTTCGAATTATAGAATCCTAGGGCTGGAAGAGACCTCAGAAGGCCATCAAGTCCAGCTGCCTGCCCAAGGCAGGACCAATCCCAACTAAATCAACCCAGCCAGGGCTTTGTCAAGCCGAGACTTATCGCAAGTATTCATCAGCCCTTCTCCAAGTCAGGCCTTTTTAATTGAAACAAAGCAGACAGAGAATTTCCAGTTTGCCACACGGGGGGTCCTGCAGAGCCCAGAAGTCTTGGGGACTAGATTAAGGCCAGCTTGCTGTGGAGCACCCTGAGTCTTGCTCGAAAGGACCAAAATCCATAGCGAAGCAAAGTAAACAAGTCAGTTCACCTTGTACAAAATGAAACCTCCGAATCAACGTAACATTGGATTCTATGTCAGCATTTTAAGGAACAAAGCGACAAAACAAGTGACATCACACCTGGAAAGGGTGCAAAAACACCTCCACAAAGGATCTTCTGCAGCTGTACCATATCTATAGACCTCAGAGTCTCACCACCAGAGAACATAATATCTCTAGTCAATAAGCACAAAAGCTATTACATACAAAAAAAATCTCAAACCAAATCAAAACACTAATGACATTTAACATGCAACGAAGGCATGTTCCCCGAGGCAGGTTCTATAACCCGGTGCTCTCTCACAGGAATACAGATTTGCCATGACAGATAACATCACTGGTTCATCAAACCCAGTATCCTGCCTTGGGCAGTTGCTCCTGCCATATGCTGCCGAGGACAGTGACTCCATTGCTCCCATAACGCTGCCTGGCCAAGTGTACAAGGGAAGTTCCAGGGAATTACTTCTCAAGCCCCAGGGCAGTCATTCTACACTCAAAGCACACAACTGATTATCTTCACCTGCTTAGCTGCAAGTTTATTGACGGCATTAATTTATCTAACTTCAAAAACTCAGCTACTGCCTTCAGCTGTGGCCTACTCTTTGCATGAAGTGGAGTACAAAAAGGGTACATACAGACACACATAGGGTATGTCTACACTCCAGCGCTAATTCGAACGAACTTAGTTCGAATTAGTTAATTCGAACTAAGCTAATTTGAACTAACGTATCTAGAACTAAAAACTAGTTCGAATTAGCGTTTTGCTAATTCGAACTAGCATGACCACATTAAGTGGACCCTGAACCGGGCTTAAGGATGGCTGGAAGCAGTGCCGGCAGGGCATCAGATGAGGACTTAGAGCGTGGAGCTGCTGCCTCAGGCTAGCCGAGGGCTGTGCTTAAAGGGACCCGACCCCCACTCCGGACAGACAGTTCTCAGGGGTGCCCCGCTTGCAAAGCAGTCCTGGCTTGGAGTGCCCGGAGTACCCACACTGGGCACATCACAGCACTCGGCCATCAGACCGGCTGCACTTGCCGCAGGCTGCCATCTGGGGAGAGGGAGCAATTGGGGGGCTGCAGGAGAGCTTC